ACATTTTTGAATGTACTTTTCAAGATAGGTATTTTTTTATCAGTATTTGTACATGTTGTATGCAAACCCGCTAATCAGTCTTTCATTAAAAAAAGGTCAAATTTATATGACTTCTGAGGCCTGGTTTCAGGAACATTTTTCTTGCCTGGCCTAAAATATATGGTAATGGTTTTTTACCTATGCACATGTGTATGAAAATGCATATGTTTTATATCTAAGAGACACTGTAAGGGAAGGTGATTGTTAGAGAAAAGAAATATATGGACTATATGCTTAAATATGATAACTCCGTATTCTGTTTGTCTTTTGGTAGCAGCACTCTCTGTTCCACCAATTTTTGTCCCCAAAGAACCGTCTCCCTATTTGCTTGTATGACATCTGTTAGTTTTTCGTCACGCTTTGTTGCTTCTTCGACTTCAATTTCATCTTAAATATCTGAAATATAATTCGAAGTGTGGCCTTTTCAGCGGCCATAACACCTCCAAGTCTTCGTTTCACACGTACTCTCCATCTATTTTCTTTTTAATAAACACGTGGGAATAAGTAATAGGGCTACAAATTCCAGATGAATAGATGGCATGTAAATCATAGCATTAACAAATGAAAATTCAGAAACAGCAACAAGTGTATTGAATACATAATGTTACTCAGTTAGTTTCTTTTAAAATGATACATCAATGCTGAATGTCTGAACAAATCTTTTTTTAGCCACACAGAAAATATGACATTGCTGTCGTTTTCCTTAATAAGCAAAATTAATTTATTTCGATAAGCTTATTGAAAATGTAATATCAAAAATACTAAACTCTAAGATAAATTTAAAAATGGGTAGTCCATGAAAACTGACAAAACCAAAAGCTCGGCTACATCAACTCTCACATTCCTGACTTGGTACAAGTAAAAATACAATGTCAACCTGCGTGTTTTTTTTTTTTACTGTAGAATATAACAAGGAAATAGAGGTAAAAATAAAACAACATGACTTAGATGAAGATAAGATGAGAAATGGTCTAGAAAAGGATAAATCGTTTGAAAGAAATGACGGATGGAAAATTGACAACGTTAAATAAGGGTGCATATTACTGGAAATAAGAACACTGCCAGACACTTTCAAAAGTGAACATATACTTAATTCCAGAATGCAAACATTGGTTGAGAGAATTTTGATAACAGGACAAGTGGACACTTCTGAGCAGGCAGAAATCTATATTAGATTTAATGTTAAAAGTCCTTTGACAACAGGTGAGTCATGTAACGAACACTATTGTGGCTCATTTTCAAAGCTATTTTTATATACTATAAATTTACAAATTGGTCACTTTCATTACATCCATTTTTTATCACACCACGTGACAGTGAAAGTGATCAGAAGACTGTAATGGGCATGTAATTTAAAAACAAAAACCAAAACGTATGACACCAATTTTAGGATCCAGAATACTTATATTTTAAAGAAAATTCATTTGATACACTCGAGACAAATTTAAAATGTTTGGAAAGGTTTGAATGGTAAAATTACGATTATATCTGTATGTATCATTAAAATCAGATGATTTTTGAACCAAACAAAAGACTACCGTGTGCATGGTTACTTGGGACATTGATAGTATAGACACAGATGTATTTAAAATTGAATGATACCGGCTTATGTGCGCATGACGACTGCTTCTCTTATATCTATTTTGAACAAAACCTATGGATGATGGCCGGTAATGGACAACGAAAAGCAAGCTTTTAACATTATCAGAAGTTCATCGTCTCAAAATAAACTGTAATTTTTCGTCAATCTTATTTAACCATTTCAGCCTTGATTACTCCATAAGGCTTTATATTAATCTCTTAACAAGTAAAATAACAAAAATACCGAACTCCAAGGAAAATTCAAAACTGAAAGTCGGCGAAATCAAAAACTCAAACACTTAAAACGAATGGAAAACAACTGTCATATTCCTGACTTGGTACAGGCATTTCCTCGTGTAGAAAATGGTGGACTAAACGTTTATAGCTAGCTAAACCTCTCACTTGTATGACAGTTGCATACACATATATTGACAACAATGTGCATGCAACACAAACAGACATGATGGGTAGAAATGTTAAAAATTCGGGTACAGCAGTCAACATTGTGTTATAATCTTAATCACTAAAAAACAAACAACTATGTCAACAAAGAAAAACAAAATGACATATAGACACTCTATACACAAAGCACATAAACAAAAATAAGAATACAAAAAATTACCATAGCACAATAACACTATGGCGGGATGTATAAATATAGAGCCACGCCAAAAGGACATTACCAATAATGAACTAAACAGTAAAGGTAAAAAATATACAAAAACAAATAAAAAGAATACTATAACAACATGAACAAGTAATTAAGATGATAAACAACGTCAGTTCCTAAAATCTATACTTCAAGACCATCATGTATTTTTTGTGAAGTTGATACGGAATATTTATAAACAAGGTCATGGTTTCTTTCGACGAATATTTTTAGAAAAAAGACGAGACGTTCTTTGACATTACCTTGGTTCATTAACTTTCTGCTCAGAAAACATGTGATGTTTTATATAGTCTGAGTAGCAGCTGCAAGCTCTTTAATACCGATTGAGTAGGGAAATGTATATCCCATACGTATCAGAAGTTGGTATATTGCTGCTAAGGTGGGGTAAATTTATAATTTCAAAATCAAAATCTTCTCGTTGGTCATAGATTAGGAAACTGAGATGACTGCTTATGTCAAATTCTAGGTATAAATCTTTTTATGAAAAGTTCTCAATTTATTGAGAGGAACCCCACGTTGATTTTTCAACGTGAAGTTTTAATTTTCAAATCCAACAATATGTCTTTTTTTCAGAAAATATGTCGCTAGTATGATGAGACTTGGACACTTCGTATCCGTCAACCAATTCGTTATGATGACCATAAAACTTCTCTTTCATGATCATTCATAAAGCTTATGATAGGAATAACGATAAATCTGATCTAAAATCTCCAATAAATCTGCTTATAACAGTAATGTTATGACAAAAGGCTTGTTTGAATCATTCATCACATTTTTAAGTATAATCTCTTGAAAAAGTCGATATTCAAAGTTATACATTCAAAACGTTCATGATCAGGTTGGGATCAAGCAAAATTACATCTCAATTAATAAAGGACTGCCACAATCTAGTAAAACATTTCAATAATAAGCAGACAAAATTTATACAAATATCATAAAGCAGACACTGTTTTGTATGAGTTTCATATATTTTATAATCTTTGTCTTGTCCACCCATATTGAATGTACTGCCATAACTCTTCGGGTAATCTATATTTAGATTAGTTATATTCGGACGTCCTGTCGATATCGCATATTTATTTATTTAACCAATAGTATGTCAATTCAGTAGATTTTAACAATTATATATGTTCTTTTACTAAAAAGGATATGGAATCTACTATGCACACATATATAAATCACCAGCCCGATTGCCAGTACCTCGGTAATGACATTAAAATAAAGATATTGACTGATTACAATTTGTTGTTATGAAATTCCTGGGAATGATTTTAAATTCAGGAAAGTATCTGCATTATGCACAGCTATGATTCCTTGTCCGGGTTACGCTCAACGTTTGGTCTATTATTGGTTTAATCACTTCTATAATGTTTGAAGACTATTTTGGAGTTTCAAATATTTGGCCTTCAGCATTCAACATGTTCAAGAAGAGACATTTGTTGTCGAAATGCTATTTGTTGCAATTCATTTGGTACTGTCTTATATGATTTATACCACTGGGTCGATACCTCGGCTCATGGACTGTAAGTGTCATAGGGTATCACCAGCCAGGTTACCAATACACTGGTACTGGATAATAATATCGCATAAACTGAATTATAGGGATGATAATCCGGTAGCTTGGGCGGCAGTGAGGGTGGCAGTGTTAGCGCTCTTTGCATAACACTTTAAACTATTTCATAAATTGAATATCTGCATATTTATATCTTGTATACAGATGTCTTATGCTCTTATGTTTCTGTCTGTTTTTTTCGATTGTCCTTGACCTCATTTGTAAAAGAGAGGCGAAAAATGCCAAAGGGATATTCAAACATTTAAAATCGAAAATAAACTGACAACGCCATGGCTAAAAAAGAAAAAGACCATCATACAAACAATAGTACACAAAACACAACATAGAAACTTAAGACTGAGCAACACGAACCCAACCAAAAACTGGGGTAATCTCAGGTGCTCCGGAAGGGTAAGCATATCCTGCTTACGTGGTAAGGTCACTTTCATGTATAGGTCACTTATATTGTTTGTATGGATTGATTGTCATGTGTACATCTCCGTTTGGCAGGGTTCATTTGATCTTGACGTTATTACCATAGTTCATATGTCAATGTACATGGATAGCTCTGATTACCTGTAGATTACCAGAGGAAGCAAAGCAATAACAGTACCAGTTTTACTGCATCAGATGTAAATTTCGACATATGGTTTACAGACGATAAATACAAACTGCTTCTTGAAATAGATAGTAAATTTTAAGAAGTGTACTCTAAGGGAGTGTATTAAATCAATAACCTCTGGTTCAGTTTGATTTTGTAGTTTTTGTTTTTAAATGATTATTGTCCTTGATTGTTAAAATCATTATAGATGATGTGGTCTTCAGATGATAATTCAAAGATCATGTTTCAAGAACACTTAGTTCCATGTGAATTATGGTACTTCCTGTGAAGAAGAACTAATAATTTGCGTTCTGTCCATCGTAAAACACAAAAGATGTTATATAAATTTATGCCGCATGTTAACCCTATAAAATGAGAAAAGACATAAGACATTTCCTGTCCAAATGATTCATAATTTTATCCCAGTTGTAATCTTCATCTGCAGGCGGGCATATAATTCTGTGATCACTATCTTATATACATTTTATTTTTATTTTTAATCACAGAGGAGGAAAACGTTTTAAGAAATGTTTTCTCTAAGTCGTCCAAACATCAAAGTGAATTTAGAAACAAATCAGAAGAAAACATGACGTCCACAGGAGAAATACTTCTACCTCAAGGTATGTGCAGTTGGTGAAGCAGAGAATACTTCTGAATGAAGGTGTTAACAACATAAACATATTAGCGTCGGTTTAATATGTATTTCCAATTCAATGTCATTTCTTGATTTTATCCTAAAAAGCGTTCCGGACGCACGAACTTAAAAAATGTTATTTTCATTCATTAAAGTGAGATAGCTTAAACAAGGAATACTTTTGCTAAATTAACAAAGAGCAAAATTTTAAGGCATGTGTGCCTGTTTAACGAATTATAGCGTCATTCTCATCATTTCTATATTACTGTTTTATCTAACAGAAAGACAAAAGATATCAAAGTGATACTCAAACTCGCATGTCGAAAACGAACTGACAATGATATTGCAAACAATGTTATTGAATAAAGGCAACAGTAGTATACCGCTGTTCGAAATTCATTAATCGATTGAGAAAAAAACAAACCCTGGAAACAAACTAAAATTGATGGAAACACATCAAATATAAGAGGAGAACTACGACACAACAGAAACACAACATTAAAATGTAACACACACAGAAACGAACTATAATATAACAATGGCAATTTTCCTGACTTGGTACAGGACATTTTAAGAAAAAAAAATGGTTGGTTGAACCTGGTTTTCTGGCTAGCCAAACCTCCCGCTTTTATGGCAATGTTAAATATAACATTATAATGACAACATTACTTGACAGGATTACAGTACAAATTAATGGGAGAACATATAGGACAGAGAAACATACGAATAATAGCTAACAAAAGGCAAAAGATACCAATGATGAATTAAATTATAAGTCGAAGAATAACAATCAAAACAATGACCAAATAAAACGACAAACAATAGTCCACAAAACATTGCAAGGAAAACTAGGAACTTAAAATCACGAACGCTACCAGCAAAAAAGACAAAGATATTCCATAACGGTCGACCAAATCACGATAGAGTATGTAACATGTGTAAATCTTTAGAAGAGATTACTTCATCATTACTATTTGGAGGTCTTGACAGAATGAAACAAAAGTATGTCACTATGATTTAAACTTTACTCTGCATTAATTATGTCAAGTTGTAGGTCTGAGTTCAGATCTCAGATACTAAGTGACATGCAATAGTACAATTGGTGTAAGAGTAGATCAATGAGATTATGTGAGTCTGTCATTAGAGACAAGTTACTATGAACTTTATATATATATATTGGTTTGACATAATATGCAAAATGGCGATTCAGATCGTAATTTTAAATAGTACATGACCTATACAAATATAAGGATACATTAAAGACAGTAAAAAAAATCCTATTCTGGCCTACATTGGAGGCTTTATTGGTTTGTATTGAGGTTAACGTCCGAGTTCATTTCTTACATGTTCAAAAAGTAAGTGATCACATTTGCGTCTTTTCTCACTGAAGTTAAATTTAACTTCGATAGGAATAAAAAGGACATGTTGGGTATATCACTTTTCATCGTCAGGTTTATCAAGGCATTTTGGGGATTAGTCAAACATTTGTAACAATTTGTTTCAATATATATTTATATAGATATAGAAGATGCCAGAGAAATAAGAGGAGCAATAAAAACGAAGGGAAACTTACAAATACTCCAGAAAGACAGTGAAGAAATCGTAGAATGTCCAAAGTGCCATAACAAATTCAAATGTGGTCAATGTAATTCAAAACTTCTTATCATGCAAAACCTTATGTCTAAAAGGGGGAGCTATAACTTACAGATTCGACATGTCATGGGTGAGTGCATTAAGTATTTACAAATAGCTCAAACATGCCAAAGGAATATTTTTTTAATAACAATGTAGACAGCGACCGCAACTCATAGTGCAGGGCGAAGCTCATGATGTTATACGGCAACATAAGTGTGAGGAATAATAAATGAATAAATAAATAAATAATTATAGTAACGCATTCATGATATAATTTTCATTATCCAGTATGGCCTATTATATAATATAATTTCCTGGTTGTGTTATATTTTAATTCCCCTCTTTGAAAGTCTGATTCATGTATTTTTTGCAGATCTAATTCATTTTATTTTCGTAGTAACATAATTCATTCTGTTTTCGGTCAAATGTGATAATTCAAGTTAACAATATTATTGTTGTTGTATCCGTATTTTTGCGTTTAATAAAATAGGACGTTTAATCTGTTTGTTTGTGTACGAAAGAATGTAATTACAGACTGACCAAACGTTAAGCTTAACTGCCCTTCAGTGTCGAAAAATGCTTTACCAAATTCTCTGATCGTTCTAACTGAAGGAAATTTTTCAAGAATCAACCGTCCAGTTTAGTTATTTCATATGTTAAGCCTCATCCTACTAGCAATGTATCCTATCAAAAACGAATGCCACATGTGAGAATCGAACTTATGTGCGTTTATCTCAGTCACAGTTATATTCTCATTTCGTGCACCATACCACTCGATCAAGACAGCTGAAAGTTTTCTCGAAAGTGCTGCATTAAAATTTTGTGTCAGTATCTAAATTGTGTTGATGTCTAAATAAATTTCTTTGATTAATATTCAAAATATATAATACCTTGGTTATTTTGTTTATTGGTTTAATTTTTATGTGTTTCTTATCTTATTGGGGCTATGGCCATTATTATATTATAGTTCGTTTCTGTGTGTGTTACAATTTAATGTTGTGATTCTGTTGTGTCGTAGTTCTCTTATATTTGATGTGTTTCCCTCAGTTTTAGTTTGTTACCCGGATTAGTTTTTTTTTCAATCTATTAAAATCACAGAATTAACCATTAAAGCAACAGCGGTATACTACTGTTGCCTTAATGGTTAATTCTATGATGACGACGTTAATATTACTAATATATATATAATATTAAATTATGTAATCATATATAAATATCAAAATAAAAAAAAGTCTTGCATATTAAACATTTTGAAAAAAGAAAGGGAGAAAACTGACTAACGCCGCGAAGTGTTCAATATGTTTGAATCTCAAAAATTCTGAAACATTAGTAAAACAGGCATACATCTACAATGAACATGAAATCAGTTTAACACAGTAAATTTAACAAAACAAAGGAGAAATAAGATAGACATATTTCGAGAATAAACTGGTAAATCTTTACTACTAGAAGAAAAAAACGAAAAAAATTTCAAAATAACATATGAACATTTATACTGGATATCAGGTTTGAACACGTGTTGATTTGCAACATATATTTGTGATATGTTGAACTGAACCTGTATGCGACTACGGCTATTCCACTAAAATTACAAAAGTAAAAAAATGACAATTCCACATTCCCATGATGCTTGCCACATGCAATGACAAGCACTTTTACTGGTTTTGTTTTCAAAATAGAAAGCAGTCACTGCTATTTTTAGTTTATACATACTATTAGGTTAACTGAAACGATGTTTAATAAATTCTAACATAACAGATCAAATCGGGAAATTACTTCTCTTACATTCAAAATTGATAAATACACTGCCATATGTTAAACAATACTGAACATCACATAGTTCCCACAATGATATAGCTAACTGAATACATACAAAACATAAAACAAATCTGTTTTATATCTGCATCCTGTAAATATCCAACAATAGCTATTTGTGTGTGTGAAACTCGCTCTCAAAAGCTTATTTTAATAACGGTATGTAGTAATAACTTTTTAACTTAATTTTTTCGTGCATTGGTGCAAAAAATGCCCTCAACATGTCCTCCATAACTCCCTGTCGTGTATTTTCTTCTCGACGTTGATTTTGCATCGTATGACTTTCCTTCTGTGTATAAGACACTATCAAATAATCTTATCACAGTTGTTTTTTTTTTTCTTTTTGACGAAAAGGTCTATTTGACATTTTTTGGTATATATTGAACTATATCTTTTGCACTAATAAAATATAACACAAACACAATTTTTATTTTCAAATGAAAGAAATTAGGCCATTAAGTAAACCACAATGTAATTAAAATGCTACATCTACTAAATATGCCCCTCTAATCGCATTTGTATTTCTTTGCTGTTATGAAGCTCAGTTTATAGCTTAAGTTAAAAATGGTCAAACTAAATTCCATTTTATAAAAAAACAATCATCAACAATATATTCAGATATATATAGACAACATTTTCGTGTAGTCTTTTCTTAGTAGACTTACTATTATAAGTTCTCACGGTAATCACTGTACTCCCAAATTGTATTTCATTTCATTGTCGTACCATAACAAATACTTTTATACAATTTATACTTCACCGGAACGTAATAATCACAAAGTACTGAAAACATTGTGGGTGTATGATTCGACATGCAGGAAGTTGAAAAAGTAGCATTTCACACCAATTCGTTAAGTAATATTGTTCATAAAGCAATAAGGTTAAGGAGTTGTCTACAAAATCATTATAGTTTACTGTTTGTTTTATTAAAATTACAATTATATTGTGGTTGGTTATTATTTGAAGTGTTTCAAGGGGTTTATTTTATTTGCTTATTTTCAGTATGATGTTGTCACCAATGGTGATCAAAATGTTTTTAAATTTAACCAAGACCTCTTTAGAAAAAATCAAAGAAAGTTAAAAAATGATTTTAGTAACTTGATAAATGACGTATACATCTGACTCATTGTTAATCTGTTTAATTAATACTATTATAAAAATTGTCATTACCGAATTATTTTTTTACGCTACAGTAATAACGTGAAAATCAACATCTTAACGCGTAATTAAATACAGGGCATGTTATTCAATCTACCGTAAAATGTAACACAAAACCTGAAATAATGTAAATTAAATTTGCGAAAATAATTCATGATTTTTGATATTGTAATAAACCAAAAAAATTTGGGTTGCAAATCCACATTTAGTCAAAATGTCACAATCAGAAATAGAACACAATCGGTAAAATTACATATCAGACGATAATACTGGTGTCTAAATATTCACTTTTTGCACACTATTTTTTATAGGTGTGTTGCAAGGACTGATCAGCACCAAGAATGAATTTCAAGGTAAAAAATATATTTTTTTTTTCTTTTTCTAGTTCAAATTGGAATTGTATTATTTGGAATAATCAACCATCTTGTATTGTAACAAAACAATATTTTTCTTGCCGTATCTTGTCGTGTTTACATAAAAATTAGTAATTTAACTTATTCAATATATATCAATAAATATATTTTCATACTACTTTTTTAATCAAGGTTTTTGATTTCCTCTTGGATTAATTAAATTTTGATTAATTTTCTCTTACAACTACAATATTATATCAGATGTATTTATTTCTAGAACCACCCCCAATATACGTTAAGACAGAGGAAGAGGACCTACTCATTAAAGGTAGTTCCGTTTGTATTAGTAATTCAGCAAAAGTTTAATATTTTTCCACTTTTATTTTTCTGTATATTTGAAAGGTAAATCCAGAAAAGCGCTTTGGACGCATAAGATTCATAACGTGTTGTTTTAATTTTTTTACAGCACTGGGTTTATACCTCTGCTGGTGGACTATCAGTCCCCGAGGGTATGATCAGCTCAGTAGTCAGTACTTCGGTAATGACATGATTTATAATAAACCTTTCTAAAATTATCCGTTTATAATTTTTTGAATTATAAAGAATCTAAGGTTTCAACTCCCTCTAGCAAAGCTGACCTTAGATGGATTTGGCTATTTTTTATGTCCTTTTTGGTCATATAGCTCTTAAACTTTTTCGGTTCTTAGATATCCTTGGCTTTCAAATATTCGGTTTTAGGCGTTCCTGATGAAGGTAAATCCAGAAAAGCGCTTTGTTGAAGTGTTTCCCTCGGTTTTAGTTCGAAACCCGGATTTTTTTCTCTCAATCGATTTATGACTTTTGAACAGCGGTATACTACTGTTGCCTTTATTTTTTGTAGCATGACATTCATAATGTGTTGTTTTCATTTATTAAAACACTGTTGAAACGCATAAGCCGTTACCACGTAGACATCGATGTTATTCCACACTTTGTGAAGAATGACAACATACTATATATAGAATTATGAGAACAAAATGATTTGCAGATATTAATTATTTTATTCAAAGCAAAAATGGTAAGATTTTCAGATGATCTAAGATTAAAAATTCATTATATTTTGTTACGTTGCTTCATGAAACGTAACTTTAAGTAACGCCCCCGATATTTATGCAAAGAACGGTATGATTTCACTTTACATAGTTTGAGTACTTTTATTGCATATTTATTATGTGTATGTTGGTGTTCCACTGATCGAGATAAAACGAATATTTCATTTGTTAAATCTCAAGGAAACTACTTTAATATAAAAATAAGAAGATGTAGGATGATTTCCAATAAGACCAAATGACGTAGAAGATAACAATTATCCGGCCTTCAACAATGAGCAAAACCCATACCACATAGTAAGCTATAAATGTAAAAAGGTCCCAAAATGACAAATGTAAAACAATTCAAACGAAAACAATAGCAGCATGATTTACCTACAAAACAATACGACGAAAAACAAATACGATAAACAGCAACACATGACAACCACTGAATTACAGGCTCCTGACTTGGGACAGGCACATACAGAATGTGGCGGGATTAACATGTTTGTTGGCGCCAAACCCTCCTCCTTACCTGGGAGAGTTGTGTAACAGTTCAACATCGAACAAACTATAAAAATCAGTTGAAAAGGGCTCAACTTATCCGATCAGTACAAATGACAAAAAAACCCTAACAAAACCACAAAAAAACATACCTGAGAGCAACCGCAGTCATCGAACGCCAGTTCGAAGCCAATAAAAATAATGTATCTAAGACTAATATATCAACCAGTAAACATCTAGTATCCAATGGATTTAGTGTACAGACGTCATTAACAGTCCATACCTTACATATTCTTTTCTCTATTAGATCAGAATCTGCAAAAATGGTTGTCCTGACACCAGAGGAAAACTTGGATTTAAAATAACTTCGTCACGAGTTCTTTTATTTTTGTCTAAATAGTTTTGTTCTTTTAGTAATTTGGTGTTCATTGTCAGTTTAATTTATCCAACATCTATCTTGACTTGCAGTTTTTATTGTTGTGGATTTTCTTTCTCAATAACAATTGAATAACATTTTAAGAATTCTCCCATTTACTTATATGAAAATAAGTTACATGTGGTTCGATTGCCAAATAGTCAACTATATACCAGAGACCACATGACGATAATGTAATCACCTACAGTCCATCGTATGGCCTTCAAAATAGAGCACAACCCGTACCACGCAGTAAGCCTTGGCATGAAAAAAATGTGAAACAATTCAAAAGAGAAACACCACGGCGTGATTTTTGCTAAAACAGATATGATAGATAGCAACCAACGACAACCACTTGATTTCAGATTCTCAGACTTATCTTGGACGGGCACATACATATTAACAATGTGGCCGGGTGAACTATGTTTTTGAGCACTCAACTCTCTCCCTTTTCTTGGACAGTTTAATAGCCCAACGTAAGGGATATACTATAAAATCAGTTTCAAAGTGCTTGACTCATCAGATACTTGCAGATACTTAAAGCTTTTCACTATCGAACTTCAAGTAATAAATAAATCAAGTATTCCCAGATATCCAGCAGTATACCTCCAACCTATTTCGTTTAAAAATTCCTGATTATTCTATGAAAAGCTAAAATAAATGTATCTACATGCTGTAAGATCACAACACTGGATAGCAATGAACGTTCATTTATGTATCAAACTATTAAAGTTAAAAGCATTGTTAGTACTAATAAAGTCAGTATTGAAAGATCTAACAATGTTAATTTGATAACCTTGATAACTGTTTTCTGCTCTTTGGTCGGGTTGCTGTCTCTTTGACATATTCCTCATTTTCATTCTCAATTTTATTTAAGAATACATTTATTGAAAGGATCAACAAGTTTACATGGACCGTTTCTGAATTATAAGCAACATCAGCGTAAAAACTAGAATGTGAAATCCCGTTTGTTAAAGGTTTTGAACAGGTACATGAAAACTTCAAACAAAACTTTGTATGGATGAAATAATGTATTAAAGGTTTTAAGTAATTTGTGATAATGAAAGAATTGACAAGTTTACACGTACATTTACACTTACATTTAGAATTTACAGCAGATCACCAGGAACAGACAGAGGATATAGAGTCAATCACGGATGATCCTTGTGATGTTTGTGGAGGCGTAAGTTTATAACATAGTTTCACCCCCTCATGTCCATGTGCCTATCCAGAGTCAGGAACCTTGTTAGTGACTTTTTTGTCAAGCCTAATGTTTTTTGTTATTTTGCGAATTTGGTATTGATAGTATATGTTTGATAGTCTATTGTTTTCTACAACTACCCAGTTCTAAAATTTCAAATCATAGTCTTAGTAGATTGTATTAGTCACATTTTGTAATACCGTTCGTTCATTGCTTACTAAACGATAAGGGTTTTGTTTAACGTTAAAGGTCTTACGGCGACTTTTATTTGCATGTAAACATTCTCTTTGTTTCTAGAGCAATCATTATCAGACTCTGTTGAATTTAAAGCTATGAATTTATTTAGAAAAATTGCTACAGACTGTATGTTTCATTCTATATGTCTTTTGGTTATTTTGTTGTCTTTAGGTTGCTGTATCAGTGAAGTATACCCCAAATATCCTTTTAGTCAATCATAATAAGGCTGTAATTTTTCTTACCTTGATTTCAAGAATAACTTCATATTTGTAAATATATGCTATTTTGAATTGAACTGTAACTGATTTTAGAAAGAAAAGGAAGATAACAACGAGTTGGTTTACTGTGGAATGTGTGAAGTTCTAGTTCACCAGGTAAGTAATACAATATTGAATGAATAAATAAGAAAACATGAACACAACACTTCATTCGTCCGAAGCGCTTTTCTGGATTTACCTTCATCAGAAACGCTCAAAGCTGAATATTTCAAAGCAAAGGATGTAAAAGAACCGAAACAGTTGGAGGGTAAAATGACCAAAAAGGACATTAAAAACCAAATTCATCTAAAGTCAACTTTGCCTGAGGAAGTTGACACCTTAGTTTCTTAATAATTTCAAAATTTACTAAACGGACAATTTCAGAAATGTTTGTTATATATACTTCATGTCAGTACTGACTACTAAGCTAATGACTCCCTCAACAGCAGAGGTGTCGACCCATTGTCGTAATAAAATGAAAACAACACTTCCGAAGCAATTTTCTGCAGTGTTTTTCATCAGGAACGCTCAAAGCTGAATATTTGAAAGCCAATGATGTATAAGAACCGAAACAATTGAAGAGCTATATAACAGTCACAATAACTGTAGAAAAGAGCAAGCGTTCCTTCTTTAAATGTATCAAATTAATTTAATGGGATTTTCAAACTCACAACACGTGTTTGTGGTATATCATCTATCTTATACGCTCGTTGTCAAACGTTTAAAAAATCCAAAATGTAAAATATTTGATAGCATAAAAACCGAACAGGTCATTTCACTAACACCAAACAGTCAACTGTTGTTAACTGTTTTTGATGTACCTTGCTCTGAATTCCTATTATCGATATATGGAAACGAAGGATTATGCTGTATTATTTCATGAAACAAAATTTCTACACGCACTTAAATAAACCTAAATAACCGGAACCGTGCTCCGATTGTTGTCATTCCTTGCAAAGTCACAATCAGGTCTTTCATACGGATAAAAAATTGCATCTTACTGCAAGGTCAAGTCAGTCCCTATCATTAATATGATTGAAGTTCTTTGCAATGTCTCGATAAACTGACACATGTGCATTGACAACAGACACAGCAATAAATTAACAAATACCATAATTAAATGGAAAAACAAATCTAACAAATACTGTCATTGTTATATTATATAATTTACCGTTATATCATAATCATTTAGATACATTCATTTCACACCAACGAGACACAACATATCATACGGATTATTGATACAGAGGGAGTACATATATATAACCAGTCTAACAGGGTACAATATAGTTACATTTGTTCATTTTATTGTTATTTTTTGGTGATGTTGTACCCATTTAGACTGGTTATATATTATATTTTGTAGTGTACTGTATCATAATTATATGATCCATCGCCCCGAAAGATTTATCGTTGGCTATTATTCAGTCATTCATTTTATATATATATATATATATATATATATATATAAACAAGTCTAAATTGAAAACAACGTTCAAACCTATGATTGCGTTGGATAAAAACCGCAATTTTTATACGTGTGCTGCAAAAGAAATTTCTTGTTAGAGGGGTCTATTTACAGCACAAACAACATTTTCCAAAAGACCAAAAAAGTGAAAAAGTATATTTTAACAAAACGCATTTGACTAACAGGTCGAACAACAAATGTTCTTAAACCCTTCTGACTGCCATTGGCGATTGCCAAATAAACGGATCACCGATGTAATAAATGGATCTTAATTTTAAATTTAATACTAAACAGAAAACAATAAAGTCGGAAAAGATGATATACCGCAAACAAAAGGTGCACAGTTTTTTGTACACCTTATCCGGAGTTCGACAAATAATGTCTCTTCAGTGATGTTAGGAATCGAAACGGTATTTGGAAAGCCCAACAATTTACCTCAATTTAGGATAGACTCTTGCATTTGGAGGAGTCAAAATAGGATGAACGGATCATATCAACCCTAAGGCAAATATGATACAATCCCAAACGAAAAAATATAAACAAGTCTAAATTGAAAACAACGTTCAAACCTATGATTGCGTTGGATAAAAACCGCAATTTTTTTACGTGTGCTTCAAAAGAAATTTCTTGTAAGAGGGGTCTAAATACAGCACAAACAACATTTTCCAAAAGACCAAAAAAGTGAAAAAGTATATTTTAACAAAACGCATTTGACTAACAGGTCGAACAACAAATGTTCTTAAACCCTTCTGACTGCCATTGGCAATAGCCAAATAAACGGATCACCGATGTAATAAATGGATCTTAATTTTAAATTTAATACTAAACAGAAAATAATAAAGTCGGAAAAGATGATATATTGCAAACGAAAGGTGCAAAATTTTTGTTCACCATATCCGGATTTCGACAAATAATGTCTCTTCAGTGATGTTAGGAATCGCAACGGTATTTGGAAAGCCCAACAATTTACCTCAATTTAGGATAGACTCTTGAATTTTGAGGAGTCAAAATAAGATGAACGGATCATATAAACCCTAAGGCAAATATGATACCATCCCAAACGAAAAAATATAAACAAGTCTAAATTGAAAACAACGTTTAAACCTATGATTGCGTTGGATAAAAACCGCAATTTTTTTACGTGTGTTGCAAAACAAATTTCTTGTTAGAGGGGTCTATTTACAGCACAAACAACATTTTCCAAAAGACCAAAAAAGTGAAAAAGTATATTTTAACAAAACGCATTTGACTAACAGGTCGAACAACAAATGTTCTTAAACCCTTCTGACTGCCATTGGCGATTGCCAATTAAACGGATCACCGATGTAATAAATGGATCTTAATTTTAAATTTGATACTAAACAAAAAACAATAAAGTCGGAAAAGATGATATACCGCAAACAAAAGGTGCAAAGTTTTTTGTACACCTTATCCGGAGTTCGACAAATAATGTCTCTTCAGTGATGTTAGGAATCGAAACGGTATTTGGAAAGCCCAACAATTTACCTCAATTTAGGATAGACTCTTGCATTTGGAGGAGTCAAAATAGGATGAACGGATCATATAAACCCTAAAGCAAATATGATACAATCCCAAACGAAAAAATATAAACAAGTCTAAATTGAAAACAACGTTCAAACCTATGATTGCGTTGGATAAAAACCGCAATTTTTTTTACGTGTGCTGCAAAAGAAATTTCTTGTTAGAGGGGTCTATATACAGCACAAACAACATTTTCCAAAAGACCAAAAAAGTGAAAAAGTATATTTTAACAAAACGCATTTGACTAACTGGTCGAACAACAAATGTTCTTAAATCCTGCTGACTGTCATTGGCGATTGCCAAATAAGCGGATCACCGATGTAATAAATGGATCTTAATTATCAATTTAATACTAAACAGAAAATAATAAAATCGGAAAAGATGATATACCGCAAACAAAAGGTGCAAAGTTTTTTGTACACCTTATCCGGATTTCGACAAATAATGTCTCTTCAGTGATGTTAGGAATCGAAACGGTATTTGGAAAGCCCAACAATTTACCTCAATTTAGGATAGACTCTTGCATTTGGAGGAGTCAAAATAGGATGAACGGATCATATAAACCCTAAGGCAAATATGATACAATCCCAAACGAAAAAATATAAACAAGTCTAAATTGAAAACAACGTTTAAACCTATGATTGCGTTGGATAAAAACCGAAATTTTTTTACGTGTGCTGCAAAACAAATTTCTTGTTAGAGGGGTCTATATACAGCACAAACAACATTTTCCAAAAGACTAAAAAAGTGAAAAATTATATTTTAACAAAACGCATTTGACTAACAGGTCGAACAGCAAATGTTCTTATACCCTTCTGACTGCCATTGGTGATTGCCAAATAAACGGATCACCGATGTAATAAATGGATCTTAATTTTAAATTTAATACTAAACAGAAAACAATAAAGTCGGAAAAGATGATATACCGCAATAAAATGTGCAACGTTTTTTGTACACCTTATCCGGATTTCGACAAATAATATCTCTTCAGTGATGTTAGGAATCGAAACGGTATTTGGAAAGCCCAACAATTTACCTCAATTTAGGATAGACTTTTATTGAATTTATTACGAATTACAAATGTGTCGATTTGTGTGATTAGATAACATCACAGAGATGTCAGTATATATTCAGGAAACTGCCGGGGTATATACGACAATTTTTACCCAAATTGGAACCTCAACAACGTCATCATAACGAACGTTACTATGCGACGTAGTCGCTACACAGAACACTTAAAGAACGTCAGAGGCTCACAGAGGGAAAATAATGACGGATATCCGCCAATAATACGTTTTTAATTTGAAATCACGCGATTTACACACCAAATATTTAATTAATGTCACAAAGTGTTATTACAAATTATTGCATACAATATTAGTTTTTTGTGTATAATTTGGAGTTTAGTATGACGTCCATTATCACTGAACTAGTTTACATATTTGTTTAGGGGCCAGCTGAAGGACGCCTCCGGGTGCAGGCGTTTCTCGCTGCATTGAAGACCCATTGGTGGCCTTCGGCTGTTGTCGGGTTGTTGTCTCTTTGACACATTCCCCATTTCCATTCTCAATTTTACGATATAATTATTTTTACAGCAAATTACATAATCCTTCACATATGCGGAAAATATTTATACTGCATGTTAATGTTTAATAAATATTTGGTACTGGAAAAAACATAAAGGCAGGGGTAATCCGTAGTATATGTGTAATTCAGGTTTCAAACAGGGTATATAATGTGACATTCCCGGCTTAGGGTTTATATCCCCTTCGCCTTCGGCTCAGGGAATATAAACTCTAAGCCGGGAATGTCACATTATGTACCCTGTCTGAGACCTGAATAACATACAATATATATGCATGTTACTTTTTTGATAAACGAACAAACCAAACCATGAACGAGTGATGTAATTCAAATAAGAAAAGTTATCACAAGAATAAATACGTCATTAGTTTACATACTTGACAGTAGCACATGAAGCACGGAATAACTTTCTTTGGCCAATCAACAGGGCAAAATTTGTCAATGTTTTGAAAAAGAGAGAAAATCTGGTATATTATTTCATGGTCCGACATTCATGCATGCACTTAACGAAACCATAAAGGAAATACAATATTATTTTTTTTATTCTCAAAGTCACATGAGGCTTTTACAAAAATGCACCATGGAACGACCGCTCTCACTGTTTTACTTTTAAAAACGATTGTATAGAACTTATACGTGTTGTAATAGACATCTATTTAACTATTATAGATTTTACACGACCTTAATAGTATAATTCTGTGTAATCTTATTATGTGAAACTGACGTTTTTTAGACATGTTAATATTTTGATATTAGTCATTTGTTTATCTTCATCTTGGAATTGAATACACAAATATTCGGAATCTTCAACTTGGCTCTTGTTATTTTCCTTACTTTGTCTTTCTTCTTAAGGGATGCTATTACATACCAGACATTCCTGATGAAGATTGGATTTGCAGACCCTGTTCCGAAGGAGTTCAACCCAAGTGCATCTTGTGTAACCAAAATAAAGGGGCGATGGCGAAAACAAGGTATTATGAAAACAAATGTATATAACATTGTGTTCACATCTACGTTTGTGTGTTTTTTTTTTTATTTTATGAGAAAAACAAATTACAGAATACATGTTTCTATATAGCAGTTACGAAGTAAACATATATATTTACTTTTTTGTAATTACAAAAAAAGCAGGTTTGATATGATCTGGCCACTGAAATTTCAAAATTCAAAATAATATCAATTCTAATGTTAAGTTAATAAGGTGATCCGGAAAGTAAAATTAGGCATTCCAACAAAATTAGGTATGCCAAAAAAAAGAAAAGCAAATAAGTGCTAATAAAAAAGCATTATGCATCAAAAATACATACAGGTATTGACTACTCAATATATATCCATCTGTTGCTTTACAAAGATTTTGACTATCCTGATAGCATATTTTCTTCTTTTCTGTTTCATTGGGTACCTGTAGTCAATTTTTAATATTTTTACCTATTATGTCTGTTTGTTTTGCTCACACATTGTTGTCAATATAATGGAATTCTATGCGACTGTCATACATGTGACAGGTTTAGTTTACTATAAAACCAGGTTAAATCCACCATTTTCTAAAGAAGGAAATGCACGTAACAAGTCAGGAATATGACAGTTGTTTTCCATTCGTTTGATGTGTTTGAGCTTTTGATTTTTCCATTTGATAAAAGACTTACCGTTTTAATTTTTATGATTTCGTGTTCATATGAACATAAAAACCATTCGATCTGTGGGGATGAACAATAAGTACATATTGGAATTCCGAGTATTTGTGGTATTTTTGTTATTTTACGTTTTAGCAACAATACAACAATACTAGTGAAACACACAGTTTTAACCCATATAGATCTGAGTTGTGCTGCCTTGTCCTACGAATATCACTTAGTACTTTGGTACTGGTATAACCCCTGAAGAAATATTAATTGTCGAAATGTGCATCTGGTGCAGTAAAATTGATTAATGTTACTAAACTGCCGAAAAAAGGAACATCACATCATATTTTATTATTGTTGTCGCCTCAACCCGCCTAAAAACTTATAAGACTGGCGTAATATGATACAGCATTTATCCTGAATGTTGCTTTTCTTTGTGGAATGCAGAGGAAAACTCTCAAAGTTAAACCAAACACATGGTTATCGGTAAATAGGTTATATACAATTTTCTACTGAAATGCAAAGCTTTCTTCTTTTATGCCATTTTGGTGTCATTAAAACGTAAACATTGGCATATTTGAGATTGTATGTCTTTGATATTTGAAAATTGATATTTCGACAAATACTCGGAATTCCAATATGTACTTATTGTTCATCCCCACAGATCGAATGGTTTTTATATTCATATGAACACGAAATCATAAAAATCATTTCCAGAGACAAAAAGAAATGAACATCTTTCCACAATCTTTAGTTTTGAATACAAAAGTATTGACGATGTCCTCTAACTCACCAAATATCATACATCTCCGCAAGTGCATGTATCTCATATATCCTCGTGAACATTATATTAAGGCAAATACCAAAAGTTGAGGTCTGCTTAATATCTAACTCTTTGTCGTTTAAACAAATATTTCATCCCTGAGAAAGAAATTTTAGACAAGATAAAAATTTTGAATATAGATACACGTATACCAGCGGTTGCCAGCATAATTTCTAAGACATTTACTAAACTATTCAATATGTCTCTTTCGGTAAAAAACTTAAATCAATTAGTTTTACGGTTTGCAGTTTTGCGTCAAATACAAAAAGTTGTAAACCTTAAAGAAAATAAAGCAGACAAAATCATAAAATGTACCTATTCGTTTCTAACAGACGAAAGTGTTAAAGGATGTTGTTTGAAAAAAAAATGATTTTCAAGTGTTTCCTATAACAAGCACTTTTTTTGTATTATAGTGACGGTAGAGAATGGGCTCATGTGCAGTGTGTATGGTGGATACCAGAAATTAGGTTTGAGGATGCACAACGAATGGAGAAAATGGAAAGTCTTGATAAGATACCTGTACGTATTTTATCAACGTAATGGAAAGATGTTCATCACACATATAGCAATCATATTCGTATTGCTGTTCATTTAAGTGACCGAAAGTAAAAAGATACGTCATACCAGTTCGCGGATACGATCATATCCTACAGGTTCAGCTAGTGCAAAGCCGGCAATAACATTTATAATATGCCTCATCACGTCACAATAAGTCGAATATAAATATCAGACCCCCCGTTAGGCATCATAGAAAATAATTGATTATGAGACAACGTTTTTCTTGTCCTTTCAATTTGATGGGAACATATAAACGTCAAAAGTCTGTATATATGTAAACCTCAGATCTGTGTACGGCCTGAAATCTGTGTCAGTTTCTCAAATCTGTGCCCCATCGTGACGTCAATCGCTAATCTATGTCCATAAAAAAAATACGGCCTCAAATCTGTGTCCTATTTTCAATCGTGACGTCATTCGCAAATCTATGTCCGTTTAAAAAGATACGGCCTCAAATCTGTGAGCTTTTCTTAAATTTTTTTTCCAGTTTGTTTCGCCATGCGCAAATGTATGCCCGTCTAATAAGTACGGCCTTATAGGATTTTCCCATAATTCTCCATGTGTGTGCTTAATAATTTAAATCCTGTGTAATTATTGTGGGCCTTCAAGAATGAAACTACACATAATTTTTTTTTCACTAAAAAAACAGTTAAGACTGAATATGTTTTTGCAATATCAACATACTTCATTTTGTCTCTCCTCCATATAGCTGTTTCATGGACATTCATACCACTTTATCTATGTTTTACCCTGAATAACAAAAAATCATTCTAAATCGCTAAAAATAAAATGTGTTTTATATATTTAATTGAAGAATTTGTGAATCACAATGGGACATATATTAACTTTTTGGTCTTAGCTGATATCTATTTAGTTCAAATGTAAAATTTGTAATTATGTCTTTAATAACGAAAATCTTTCCCCGAGAAGAATCATTCTTTATGTTTTGGCATATTCGTTCTCTCCAGAAACCAGATGTAAACACTGCAGTCCATTTGTTCATGGCTGGATTTGTCCTGAATTGTAAATATTCCCCAATAGCCGGAGTAAAGATGTCCTGATAATTGTCAGAAAACATTTCAAGAGGATAAATCTCTAGTAGATGTTTTTAAATTCTCCATCAGTCCAGTATTTATAACAGATTTTCCTCCAGTCTAAAAAAAAATCATAAAGCATTTTAAAACCCTCTGTATTAATAAATAAAATGTTAATCTTGCTTTTGTCATATGAACCACTTGTACAATGCTTGTTTGGTGTGAGTCAATGCTCCGTGTTAAAGGCCGTCTGGAGCTGGCATGTCAGTAACTGCTAGTAGTCCTTTGTTAAATTATGAATCATTGTATTTTTGTTTAGTTTCTTTTGTTACCTATTCTGACATCGGACTCGGACTTCTTTTTAACTGAGTTTTACTGTGCGTATTACTGTGTGTTTGTTTTTCTACATTGACTAGAGGTATAGGGGGAGGGTTGTCCCAAGTCAGGGGCCTCTGGCATTTGTTAGTTTTGTATGATTTTTAATTTCATTTCATATTTATATATTTTGTAGTTTAGTATGACATCCATTATCACTGAGCTAATACACATTTTTGTTTAGGGGCCAGCTAAAGCACGCCTCCGGGTGCGGGATTTTCTCGATAGAGAGTTGTCTCATTGGCACTCATACCACATCTTCTTATATCTATATAAAAAATATTAGGATAAGAAAAAAAGACAAATTAATTTTGCAATCAACATATGATCTTTTTATATCTATGACTTACCTGAATAGCATTTTCTTTATCGTTGCTAGCATTTCCAAAACACCTTTTGTATAGTTCCTTGTAATACGGACTTGCACCTTCCATGGGATCAAGATTATTTTGCATCTTAAAGTAAATAAAGTAAAATATGTGGAAAAATAATTAAATGAAAAAAAAAGACATCATTAAATTTACATGAATATTTTTCTTTTCGATTCGTTTTTATTTATTCAAACTTTTTAAAGTGAAAAGGTGAATGACGGCTTTACCTCAATCTTCAACTTTTTTTTAATTAGCGTATAACATTTTTTTTTCAAAACGCACATGCACAATGCACACATGTTTAATGTAGCAAAATATTTTATCATACTAAAACATTACTTACGACTTCTAAATTTGCAATATCATCTGTTTCCGTAGTGAAGTTTGTATCCCCGGTTTCTGTAACTATATGATCATTTTTCAACTGCCTTCCTTTGTTTGTCTCCTGAACTTCTTGGTTTTCTTCGTTAGGTTCCGACACAATATCCATGGCTTCTTTTAAAAAAATTAGGTTAAACAAATTAAACAGTACTATCGATGGTTGTGTAACGTCCAGGGGCAAAATTCATACGTATATATAGAATAATGACATGATAACACAGTAAATTCAAAATATGCATTTTAATATTTGTTTTTCATAAACATGTATTAAAAAAAACTTTGTTTAAATGATATCGGTGCCTTATAAAATTAAAAACTTTCAGATTGTTATTTTAGTAAATAAAGACTTGTATCATTACCTTCAAACGTTAAATCTCTGTCATCCATGTTCCTTAACATCTCAAAATTTCCATTTTCATTTAAGTCACTGTCAGGTACTATTTCATCAATCTCTTCTTCTTTAACCTCTACATCTAAGTGTGCCTGTGCTAGAAATTTTCTTTCATCTTCAGTTAGGTGCACAAATGGAAGCTATAAAAATAAAAACGGTTTTATGGCACGTATATATTTTCAACAATACTACAATAGGTTTATATACGTCATATATACATACATGTATTACTTTGACATTTTATATTATTTTGAACATTGCATTACAGAATAATTCAGTTATCATTAATGAATTACAATGCATGTAGTATGTAACTTTCATATAGTTTCACAAGATATCAAATTATTCATGTGTAAGTATGTGTCTGTGTTGGGGGTTGGGGGTTGGGGTTGGGGGTTTTTATTCAGCTTTTAAATTCGCGTCTAATTAATAAAACATTAAGGTAAGTGTATTATATAATGTGTAGTATAATAAAAATAATAGGACAAGATGAATATCATTTATTTAAAAAACGTAATTCGTGACTTTCTATAAATATTTATATTTCTTTTTTTTCAAATTCTATTCGTTTTTATAGTTACCTGTTCATCAATAGGTGGTGCAAAGTTAGGTCTTTTAAAGTAAAGCTGATATGGTGTTGAAGGCATTGTACTTTTGTGTACCTAGTTGTAATAAAATTTTGAAGGCCAGTCTTTTTCTAACAACATCTCTTTTCTAAAATATTCTGTTAGTGTTTTATTGAAGCGTTATACACGTCCTTGGCTATGTGGGTGATAGGGACGTCCATGTAACTGCCGGGTCTTGAAAATTGACACAACTTCAGCCAAGTTTGCATTTGTGAATTCTTTTCCGTTGTCACTTTGTAATATTCTTTGTGAACCATAGAGATATACTCATTTTAAAGTAAGTTCAGCTACATCTTTTGCGAATTTCCCTTTTAATGGACCACCAAATGCTAAACGAGAATAGCAATCTACTATGTTACAAAAGTAGTTGTAACCTTTGCCTGGTGGCATTTTCTTTAAGTCTTTTGCCAACGACTGATAGCGTAAGTTGCAGGAATTGGGCGCCTTAAAACTGTTGTTTTAGGAATTTCTACGGCATTGTTACAGCACGGACAGTTGACGTTTAATTTAAATAGTATCTCGATGTTTTATCTTATTAAATATTGTACTTCTTAAACAGTCATAAATTGCTTCATATTTTCTGTGGTCCTTCATGTGTTTTTTGCTTATCATATCAATCAATTGCTCTTTGTCCAAACATTTCCTATGATTGCTATTTAAGTCTTGAGATTTCTTGTATATACATTTAGATTCTTGGTCATAAAAGTAAAGCGACAAAAACTTTTTTACCATTCTGTCCGAAAACGGCACCTTCAATTCGTCAACAATTTTCTTTGCTCCCCAGTTTTGATGTTCTTCTTTTGCTTTAGCAATCTGTAGAATGTGAGGAATATCCGCCAAAAACGCTTCTGGATTTGGATCCTTTGAAAAACCCTTTTTCCGCTTACTAAATATAATATATCCCTCGTTTTGAATAGTGTCCTGCTCCGCCATCATTCCCTTTATGCAGTGACGTCATATACGTCTTGCTATGTCTTACGTCACCACATTTCGATAAAGGACATAGATTTGAGACAAAAATGGCCATAGATTTGAGTAAATAAAGAACATAGATTTGAGACAATACAGAGCATAGATTTGAGACAATAATAGACATAGATTTGAGACAATAAAGGACATAAATTTGGAACGTCTATGACGCAATATTAAAAAGGACATAGATTTGCGGAAAAAAACATAGATTTTAGGCTTACATATATAATGAGGTCCATACTTTAAAGCATGGGCATAAAGTTAAAACAAAATTAAGTTGTAGCTGTCCATTATTTTAAAGGACTGAATTTTGCAACTTAATGTAACGCTATACATTTTACCTAAAATCATTTGCATATTTATTTGCATTGGTAAATTATGATTATAGTAACGCATGCAGTTTAAATCCATGAAAAATTAAAGACAACAAAAAAAAAAAAAAGAAATCAATCCCCAGTGATTGGATTAACGAACTAAGAAGCGCCATTAGTAATGCAACAAATTTGAAGAACATAAAAATCCAGAATAACAAAATATTTGATATGAAAAGTAATTTTATACCCCCAGAAAAAATGCAATTAAAATCATTACAAAAAAATACTTAATAAATGTACAAGTGCAAAATGTGAAATAAAATGGAACAGTACATTTAATACGGAACTAGGCTGGCAATCAGTTTGGAAAAAGCTACACAAGCTGCCTGTATCAAACAATATATTCCAATTTCAATGGAAATCATTACATAATATTCATTACACTGAATTTAAATTGTATTAAATGCGAAAGTCCGATGGCTTATGTAACTTATGTGGCAAATTTTTTGAAACCCAAGAGTATCTATTCTATTATTGTTGTAAAATTCAAAGAATCATTGAAGAAATAAAAATATTGCTATCTCTGTGCATAGATAAAACACTTAACTTTGAGGTCCAAAACATGATTATTGGATATAACCAAGATATTGATAAAACGGAAATAAATATTGGAAATTTGATAGTGTTTTTAGGGGAAATTTAGTATTTGGAAAGGTCGGAACGACATTAAATTCAACAAAACAATTTTTTAATGAAACATCCATTTTCCGAATTTTTAAGAAAGATATGAATGATTTTATCAAAATGATCGCTTAATCAAACAAAAAGAACTTATTCGGAATAGACAAACTTGAACATTTATCTCAAATATTGTATTCACTATAAATGGTCGAATTTGACATCACTTGTTTATTCTTTGCTCATTATGCAGAATTATATATATAATTATGAAAGAACCTGTGCCCCGGTATTATAGCTATATTTATCATTTGAATACAAAAAGCACACTTTGAACTAGTATATTGTTTACACCTTTATTTACAAACAACCGCCATTATTTATATAAGTTTATTTTATAGTTTATACTTAATACATATTTATATTACATACTATATAATTGTAAACCTTTTTGAACTAGAATTTACTCACCACAGACTGTGTTTGTTCATAAGTGAACATACAATTTCTCAAATAACCATTCATCGAAAATTCTGGTGACTGAAGCACGTGTTTTGGCTATGTCAATATCTAACAGGCATTTAACCGGGAACACAATTTAAATAACAAAAGATTTCATAATTGGTTGTCTCTTATTTACACGAGCTCGGATTGAACTTTAAACAGTGCAAATTGTTAGAAAGAAAACAATATAAATAACTCTTATACATAATTTTATAATTGTATCTTAAACGGATAAAATTATATGAAAATGCAAGATTTCAAAGTGTAAAGAATCGAGGGAAGAATACAGTAACTAATTATAGACAGATGCTGTTTTTATATATATATACTGAATATATATATAAAAACAGCATCTGTCTATGATTTACTGAATATATATTATATAAGAGTTTTTTCTTTTTTTTTTCACCCATTTGTATTTTCCCTGGCAAATGGGATATGTTAAATGAAAGCAGGGACCCCTCTGTCAGCTGCCCTGGACTGCATAGGGTTTGTGTATTCCAGGTGATTTAAAATAAAAGATATTACTAAAAAAAACAACAACAAAAAATACAACAAAAAATGCTTATTTAATCAGACAAAAAACTTTTAATCATAATACACATTTTAAAACAATAGCAAAATTAAATATACAATGAATTAAATGCTTAAAGATAGATGTTTTTCCCTGAAATTGATATGAACATAATATTTCTATCATTTATTTAGAATTAATTAATCAATTTTTTAATAGAACACTTTTCAAACACAAACGCAAAAGTGAAAATATTTTATAAAAAAAATTGAATTCCACCACACCAACTCCGTAAAACTTATACATACATGAAAATTCATATTAACACTTTCAAATTAAAGACGAACTGAGCTGATAATGAATGTCCGTTCTTAGACATACTTTGAGTTGGTTCGAGGCTTGTAACCAACTTGAAATATTCTTTTCATATTGATCGCTAATTTAACACTAATTTTTTCTAAGTTCAGAATTGTCAAAGGAAAAAAATTAAGAAGTATACAATATAAATTCCCTATAACATAACATATCTTTACAGTATCGTAGTTCATCGAGTTAAATCGTGTTCAGCTTTACATGAAATTTTCAGAAAGAGCGATGGACGATGACATGCTGTCTTTGTAAACAACAGGAGGGCGCTTGCATTCAATGTTGCGTTAAAGGCTGCTACAAGGCATTCCACAGTAGATGTGGTTTTGAAAACAATTTGCTAATGGAAATGATTGAAGAACCAGAATTGGTGTTTAAGGTATAATTTGCAGTAAAATGTCAAAACGCTGGTTTGCAGGTGCGGAAATCCAAATGTCGGCGTCTTTAAAAAAGCTGAACAGATACGAATTCAAATTGGCCAGGGAGTGGTAATGGTGCATTGCTTAGCAGTGTCAAGAAGGGTTATATCTGACTGGTCTTAATAACATAAAGATACTGATTTTATAGAAGTTTACCAAGCATCTATTTCAGAAAATTCTGACATTACTTTCATTAAATCAATTATATATACTAGTATTTTAGTTGAGGAAGAAACCTGTATCAAATATACTCATAATATGATTTCGTTAACAAGACTTCGAAAACAAAAAGAAAATTCATCTTTAGAAATATTAACATTCCGCAGCAATTGACTTCTTCCAAGCATTGATTAGGTTCGTATTGTTGAATCTTTGATTGTGTGTTATGTGTTCGTAAGCTTCTGTTTGTTTTTTGTTTTTTGGTTTTTTTTTTTGGTTTTTTTTTTGGAGGGGGAGAGTGTTGCCGCTTTCTATTCGATTTGCATTCTTTACTCCTTATAGCCGTCTTCTTTTTTATATGCAATCTATTAGCGGAGACCCGAGTTTAAGAAATGAAACAAATACACGTATATTATAACCGTACGAGTCTACACACGTCATGAATAAACTTCCAAAAATATTTCTTTCAGCCACATTGTCGGAAACACAGCTACAGTAGCGTTGCAGAAAATAAAAAGACAAAGCGCCGAAACAAAAAAGGTGGACCACGGAAAAGAATAATATATCAAGAAGGTTCCAATATACAAAGGTGACGTATTTATTTTGAGGCAACTATCTTTTCTTATGTTTCCCGAAAAAAACGTTTTAGAGCATGTAGTCATTGCTTTGTCCATCCGTCCAGCCTTCTGTATATCCGTTCATGGGACTGACACAAATGGTTTCCAGATGAAATATTGTGTTCTCTTACTTGAGTACAGCCAAATATATACCAATAGCAGATGTAAAGCAAGGACAGAAGCCTATTGATTTTAGACAAATAGGCCAAGGTTCAAGATCCCTGTAACGAAAAATCATATATTCTTCAAACAAATGCTTTTGAGATGAAATTATTATTTTTTTTTTTGCATGATTTAACAAGAAAACTGTTTCCAATGGAATATAGGGGGGGAAGAAATATTTGGTTTCTAGATGATAAATTCGATTTTCTACTTATACTAAACTTATGTAGATGAAAGTAATAGGGAAGTGGAGGAAACCTATCATTTTAGGACATAAAATAAACGAAATAATAAGATTATGTTGTTTATGTGTATTGTTTAAGTTACTCTCACATTACAGCCATATATTGATTATTATTTCACCGAAATCTTAGTTTTTTCTTGAATATACCTTGAAATAGAAGTACTTTTTACTAGCACTAGAAAGGTAGCGTAGGTCAAAAAGACACTTTTTAACTGAGTACTCTAAAAGGTTTTACCTCTATATTGATATTAATGCTTCGGAGAAAAATTCAATAATTTTGGTTTTTAGATAACTGACGTTTTTATTTTGAATCAATTTCATTGGGTTTGTTTGGAACCATCTATCAAGGTATAGTTCGATGATCATATGTTTGTTTTGCCAGCTTGTCGACTTTTAACATAATTGTAATGCTTGATTTGATTAAATCCGATTAGAACTTATATACATTTAAAGATGTTTTTTGAAATATATCAAAAGTTTCTAATCTATTTTATTGTTATTCATATTCATGTAATCCTAGACTTCTATATGACCAAAGACACATTTAATAAAGTATTTAAACTGTGCGGTGGTTGAGCTATATGTATACTTGTCTTGTACATTTATCTTTTAGTCGCGAGAAGTATGATACTGGGTTGGTTTTTGTTGTAATATAATGCAATATTCGTATTTATTAATTCATGTTTTTTTCTAAAATTACCTTTACAGCGAATCACAACCAAAGAAAAGAAAAGTGAGAGGTATTACCCTATTACTGTAGCAGTGCATTTATATAAATTCAACTATCTGAAAGTTCCTTGCATGTATTCTATAGTGTCAGTGATGAGTCTTTTGTAGACGAAATGGGCATCTGGCGTACAAAATTATAAGCCTCGTATCTTTGATAAGTTTATATTACATAGAAAAAGGCTGGAGAGGATACCAAGGGGCAATTAAAAACCATTAGACAAATACAAACAAGCAACATCATGATCAAAAGGAAATACAACTATCAAAAAGTCCCGTAAACATAACATATATATATATTTAAAGACAATGTACGCAGTTCCTGCTTCCCGACTGGGACCCGTTGTATAAACTAATTACAAGTAAAAAATCAGAAATAAGTCGCGTTTGGTGAAGTTACATCGAAAAAATGAGGAAAAGGTTGTGGCTACGACATGTAAACTATATCCGTGGTCATTTATGTGACACAAATATTCTATTTTTGACAATACATCGCGTACGTAAATCCTTTGAAAGGATGATTTCAATTTAATCATGTGGAACCATCGGTCCAATGGCTTTCTTGTAAATCCTCTATAAGAAAAAATGATGATAAGAAATTCATGTCTTTGGAATATTGTACCAACATGAAAATGTATACTCCATATGAATGCGCTGCTGAAATGTTGCTACACAGAAATGGAAAGTTCAAATTAAGAAAAATGGATATAATCTCTTTTTCGCAAAAATTTAGTTCTCAACCAAGCCTCATTGTCAATTTGTAGATTTAAGTAAAGAGATGAATTAGACTTAACGGTATCCGTATTATCGATAATTTGAAGTTCAATGGGATTGATGCGATCAACATACTGGCCAAACTGTTATTCAGTATAAGTGCATCATATATATATATATATATATATATATCGAAAAGTAAAGTTTAGAACCAAAGCTATGAAATCAGCCGATAAGAATTAAGAAACAAGCCAGTTAACAGGAGACCATTAGGTTTCCATAGGAATACCGAATGTCGGGAGACTCCAAACGTAACAACTATGGTGTCAATAAAATTATCAAGTATCTGAAATGAACGGAAAATATTTGATCATCTTAATCAGTATTTCTTTGATTTCTCATAGACAAAAAAACTCAAGAAATAACCCTAGAAGAAATACAATCAAAGAATGATCAGGGTGATATGTAAGTATCTCTTTTACTAAATATTATTTATGATATGACTAAAAGACATAATAAAATTTTAGTTTTTTGTGTATGTTTTATAAACAATGTATTTTATTAGGTGTGTATGACTTCTTCGTTGTTTTGAATGGTAAATACATTAGGTTAAAACCATTAACGGTCATTTTATCTTCTCAATCCATTAACTATGCAAGTCGTATCCATTGTGAAGCTTGCTCCTACTGATTTCTAAGGACCCAAGATTGTTCAATGAAAGAAAACAAGAGACTTAAGATTTTGTTTCCCGATAATAACGTTGCAGTTGATATGCAGATAAAAGTTTGGCCAGCTCACAGTAAGAATTATATGACTTATCATTTTCTGCCTTATTGTAATCATTCGAGGTAGCACGTAGCAAAAAAACTTCTATGTCAGTCATAAACTACGAGATATAAAAATATAGAAATATCATTGATCATGGTAAATAATATTTGAAACTGACTTCAGCACGAAAACCTAACGTTTATTATTTGTACTATCTATAATTCAGTCCTACTTTCGTCCCTTCTCTTTTGTTTTGTTTTGTTTTTTTTTTGTTTTTTTTTTTGTTTTTTTCTCTTTTCGGTGCAAAAACGTTATGCTCAGGTGAGGCCTTTCAGACAATCTTTACCCACACAATAATGCTATAATCCAATATAGGCGACCTTTTTCATGAACTTATAGCAAATGGCAAGCGAAACTCGGCACAAAAAATTAACAGTGATCATTGAACTATAAAAGGTTATCATGGTGATTTCTGTTACATACAGAAAACGATCGACCTGTTCGTGACGATTTCTTCATGAATAAGCAGTTTCTGTAAAAGTGTCTGTACTCTCATGCAATTCAATGTTCGAAAACCAATCTATCTGTAATATGTATACACCATACGCAGGTGATATATGTTGTTACTAATTGAAAAATTTCATACCTAATTTTCTGGAAACTAATTCTATATTTTTATAATCTTTGGCAGATTTGTCTTTCTTACGACAATAGACTCGATAAAAGAATGTGAATTATTACTGTACTGTCAATCTGATTGATAGTTGTCTGTTTGAAATCAGTCAACCGAATCAATAGGTACTCTAACGATTAAGATTTGGTGGATTTTAGCAATATATACACCAAAGAAAATATTTGTTGATCAGTATAGCTCTTAAATCAGATATGAAAACATGTTCCCCTCCATTCTAACTCTCCGATTAGACTTACTTTTAAAATGTCCTGCAATGTTGCAGAAGTTACTTCTTTAAATCTATATGTTTCTCTAATTTCAATGAAATTTACCAGTAAGCCAAAAGCAGGACGCAAACTACAATCTTCAATCTTGGGATAGGCGTAGTGTGTGCACATTCAGAATATTTCATGAACCCTAATGTTTCAAGGTTTACGACATTAAAACCATAAAGGGCATTTCCAAAACAGCCACAAATGTCAGATACGAACAAATGCGTCACTTACTTTTGTGAGTATAAAGATTCACACCTTGACTAATAAACGTTTAGCGAAACTTGGTTTTTATTTCTTCATGGTGAAGTACACTATGTAAAATAATATTTTTTATTTCTTCATTTTCAATAGTAGTAGTAGTAGTAGAAGTAGTAGTAGTAGTTTTCCCCCCGAGATATCCAAAGTCATTCACAAGTACAAATGTACAGTGAAACACAATTATGTTTTAGTCTTAAACTGCATTTCAAATGGAAGTTTGCTGTTTCTCTTTTCTGATATGTGATGTTTAATCTTTCATGATGAATTGCATGCTCAAATTTGGAAACCCATATTAACAAAAAGAGGAGAAAGATACTAAACTTCAGTCGGATATGTAAACCTTTCTCCTCTGAATTTTAATTTAGATATCTATTTCAGTGTTGAAACCACAGATAGATACCCATAGTTTTAATACTTCTATACGTGACCAATTTGAACGATTTAATTAGGTTATCTTGTTATAGGCAAACTTCTGCAAAGTGTACGGAACTTTTGTGTTGCAACATAACCCTCTAAGTTACTCTATTTTGTTATGTATACGATCTTAATTGTAGAAATATATTTTGTAGTTGCCTACACGTTGCTGCACAAAACAGTGATCGTATACAGATATCCTCTTTACTGGGTATAATTTCTAAAGCATCGTTGAATTGCATAGATAGTCAGAACAAAAAAGGGATGACGCCATTATTTATATCAGTATTGAGAAATGATTCAGACATCGTTAAACTATTCCTTCAACATGGTGCAAATCCAAATATTTTTGCACAGGTAAATATTTATTTTCGTTTTACTCTGTAAACAGTTACAGGGTTTAATTACTGATATAAATGTTTCCAAGGGATAATCACCACTTGACGTGTCTTTCAAATTTGGGTAAAATGGAAATGCCCCTTGTAAACAACTAATGTTTCATTGAAGTATACCTCATATTATTGCAATAACTACTTATAAAATGTGGAGATGTGCTATAATTGACAATGAGACAACTGTCAAAAATAATCAAATATATATATATATATATTTATAAGTAACATATCGAAAGGACAAGGATGTTAACCGATTTTAAGGTACCTAAATAAGGCATATAAGCCAAACGGTTTCCTCTGGCAACAATCCATTTATCAGCAAAAACCACATGTAATGACAATGTCACTAATTTCCGAAGGCCGAGTTGGACTGTGCATCATTGGAAACAGGAATTTAGCAAGTTAGCAGATTAAACATATCGTATATCACTATATAAAAAAGTTAAAAGTCTGAAATGGACAGTATACGTATTTGTACTTAAAATTTGTACTTTTTTTAACTCGACCCTAATCTGGACCATAATGAAAAATCTGAACCTAATACTCGACCAGGCTGAAACCGACTTAACCCATTCTCGACCTGTATTTGCCCTTTATATGACCTGATTTAAACCAGTTATCAAATTGTTTTCAATATCTCAACCATACTCGATGAAAGGACTGAACCATACTCGACGAAAAGACTGAACCATACGTGACAAATTCTACTACATACTCAACCAGTGTATGTCTACTTTATTTATCTTACACGTGTATTACTAAAAAAAAAGAGAAGGACAATTTCAAAGGGACAATCAAAACTTGGAAGTCGAAGAACGAATAACAAAAACATAACAAACAAAAACAACGAAAAACGACGATAAGACAATCAAAACTCTAATAAACAATACATAAAAAAAAGATTGAGCAACACGAAACCACAGTAATAAATGCAACATTACATGACGTCCCTTTGCTTAACTTTCAATTATAAACAAAATGGAATTATGAATCGCATTGAATATGTTGATAATTAACATGAAATATATTAACACTTCTAATTAAATAATTAATTCGATTCTACAAGATGTTTTTACATGTATACATTCATGTGCTATAGCTATTAAAATATCTATCACGTTTAATGGTATTGTTAGCAGTGAAATTGATTTAATAGTTCGACTTACAAAAATGATTTTTGTTATTTTCATGAATTGGTCCCTTTTTTGGCAGAATGATAACGAGAAACTTGTTATACATAAATCTCATGACAAGGAAATGCATTCATTATTTGTCAGTTGTGATCTATAACGAACTTTCAGGATAAAAACAGATTACAAAATGAAAATAGTACTTAATAAATTGAAAGGTTTTCTGTATTAACCTTCATCAAATCCAAATCCAAATAATTTTGACCCATGGATTTATGAATACTTTACAAACTATAGGACAAAATGAGACTAAAAGGAATAGACAAATCTACAGTGGTCAAATTTACTTTTGTGAGTTGGAACTTTATATTTTCTATAAAATAATGAAAATATTAACAAATTTGATAAATGTTTGTTATAAATCTTGTCAGTGGCGAAGGTTATGCAGCCCGCAGTCGCCCATCTTAATCTAAACATAAAATATTGCTATCACATTTATAGATTTGAAAATAGATATTTAGTACTGTTACATATATATTGTTTCATTAGGCTACAGAAGAACAATTCGACGCACCTATCCATATAGCTGCTTCTGGAGGTGACCAGTATTTAAAGACAATAACAGCACTGCTTGCCGACGAGACTATTTCATTAAACAGTTTTAACGGTGCAGGTATTGCATAAGTATTGAATTTGTTTTAATGGATATCACACTAAAGAGAGTCGTATGAGTACGAATACTTTATTGGTAAAAATATATATGATACTTATTAAGACGTAGAATATTTCGTGATCTGTTATTGAATATACACAATATTATATGGATACAATTCATGTTTACTGTTATATAAATACAATGAGATTCATAAGGCAACCAAATAAAGGCAACAGTAGTATACCGCTGTTCGAAATGCATAAATCGATTGAGAAAAGAACAAATCCGGGTTACAAACTAAAACTGAAGGAAACACATCAAATATAAGAGGAGAACTACGACACAACAAAAACACAACATTAAAATGTAACACACACAGAAACGAACTATAATATAACAGTGGCCATTTTCCTGACTTGGTCTAGACATTTTAAGAAAAAAAAAGATGGGTTGAACCTGGTTTTGTGGCTAGCCAAACCTCCCGCTTTTATGGCAATGTTAAATATAACATTAAAATGACAACATTACATGACAGGAATACAATACAAATAAATGGGAGAACATATAGGACAGAGAAACATACGAATAATAGCTAACAAAAGGTACCAGGTTTAAAATTTAAGACGCGCGTTTCGTCCACACAAGACTAACCAGTGACGCTCAGATCAAAATAGTTCGAAAGCCAAAAACAAGTAAAAAGTTGAAGATCATTGAGGACCAAAAGTTCCAAAAAGTAGTGCTAAATACGGCTAAGGTTATATGTCTGGGATAAGAAAATCCTTAGTATTAGAATAATTCATACTTTTGCAAACAGTAAATTTATACAAATGACTATATAATGGATATACATGGTAACACCGAAGTGGTGACAAACTATAGAATAAAAACGGATACATAAAACAACATAAACCAGCACATAAAAATTCACAGCCGAGTAAGCAAAAGAGATCAACGCGAAAAAAAGGGTGACGTCACATTTGAATTTCTGAAATTTCCCCAAAATAGGATAAAATTAGGATAGAATTCAAGATTTGGTTTAAAATACTCATATAACATTTATTAGTAACAATGAAAATTACAATACTAATTAATATAAAATGTGGTAGTTATTAGATAATTAATAATATTATCTAGCTATGTCGGTGTTTCTTCTAAATCAAACTGTAAACCAAATATATCGTATAAATTTAGTTGACCCAAACTAAAATCTTATAATGAACTAGGTGAATAATTATCTTTACCATAACACACGAATACAACAGAAAAAAAATAAGATTTACAACTACAAACGATAAGACATTTGACAAAATCCGATGAGAATAACAAATATAACATCAAAACTAAATACATAAATTTTGGATAGAAAAGTACCGTGACACGTCTTATAGCAATGCGAATTCACACTCAGCAAAACAGTCACAATCGGGAATAAGTCACGTTCGGTAATTAAGAGATCAGACGACTTAATGTCAAACCACACCCTAACACGTGGTAAAAATGTCCTTAGTTAGTTTGGACAAAGACACATCGTATGGATCGACCAATTCTTAAGCTTAATTTCCGATGAACAATCAAATTTTTTTTAAATCTAGGGATGAAAGAAAATATCAGAATTAAATAAACATATATTGAGTATTACGACAATAGATATCGTTAAATATCATACGTTCAACTAATGTAAAGCATTGTAAAATTGAGAATGGAAATGGGGAATGTGTCAAAGAGACAACAACCCGACCATAGAACAGACAACAGCAGAAGTTCACTAACAGGTCTTCAATGCAGCGAGAAATTCCCGCACCCGGAGGCGTCCTTCAGCTGGCCCCTAAACAAATATATATACTAGTTCAGTGATATTGTGTCTGATCAATTTGTTATTTTGAACAATTAAATATGTTTAAAAAAAGTAAAGTTTTTTTGATTCGTTCGCTGAGATCACTTGGAAAGATTATATCGAGGCAAATAATACGATATCACAAAATACTGACCGCCAACGAAAAAAGGGGGAAGTCCATAATAACTGACAAATCAAAGGTTAAACATTATCAACCAACGGAACGGATAGAAAAACATATATCCATTTTTACTAAATTTCTTTTAATTTTCTTAAACCATCGGTTTCTACCTAGAATAGAATAAATTTTAAAATCTTGAATAACTTATGTGCAATATTTGAATAAGTATAGTGAATGAAATTTGTATTTGCCTCTGATAGTAAGGTAAATGAAGACTATCAGATGCAAAGACATTTGTATTCTTCTGTTCACTAAGGATTAATAATCTAGTTAATTATGTCGTATGGTCATAATGTTATTTTTAATGCTGTGATGTATAGCTTTTTTTAAAAAACGGGTCTGTTCAAAATAGTGAATTCGTTTTAACTAGTGTGTACCCTTTGTGATATGACCTTGTCATGCTTATTTTTTTAGGTTTTTTTGTTAATTTGAGGGACACAAGAGTGCACTCGCTGATGTGTCTAGCCAGATTAACTATTTATGATTGAAATTTATGTGAATGTGTTTAAGAATAGGTTCTTACCACAGATATCACATAAATTGATTATGTTATGAATGAACCATGAAAATGGTGCCAAGGTCAGATGAACCCTATCTGACGGACCTATACGCCAAACAATAATTCTGTATATACACCGATATAGCTACCTTTTACCTAAAGTCATTATCCCGAAAACTTAACATTCATCACTGAATCATGAATGAGTTCAAGATCAGGCTAATAATGTCTGATGGAATGATTATATGTACCAAATAGAAGTGTCTTATAACAAGAATATGTTTCGATAGGACAACTGTTCCGCTTGCGCAATCATTTAACCTGAGAATGTACTAATTTCCCACAATTACAATTATATGTTCAGTGAACCGTTTAATTGAGGTCAAAACCGTAATTTAGAACATAATTTTGCAAAATTTACATAATAATGGAAATGTGTACCAGGTGTCAAGATTATGTGACTATTTTTTCATGGTAAACTACCTTAATCAAAAACGTAAACGGAGAGAAATCTGCACAGACCAGAAAGCATAATGCCCTCTACTTTCATTTGAGAGGCATTCAAGCAGCTTTAAGCGGTCATGGAACCATCATGAAAACGAGATAATGAACTACGGACATCAGTAAGACGGCAATTTTAGACCGTAAGACATCTAGATCTGTTTACAAGATATGATGCTACCTTTTGAAATATAAAGCTTTAAATTAAAATCTTAAGTAAACACCGCGGTGTAAGCTTTCTAAAATTACAAATGACCGATAGACATATACACTATATTCTTGTATGGTTGTGGCCTGTTGTCTATTTCTTGCATGAACAGAATTTTCTCGTATCACACTGCACGGAGTGTGATACGAAAAAGTGATACGAAAACTGTGTTAATTTGATTGGCTTATCCAGCATCATGAGACGATATTACAACATTTCCATTGGCTATTCGTTAGGTCATTGGTGACTTTCAAAGGTTAAGACGATGTACATTTCTTCCATGGCAACGAACACATGTCATGTCTTCAATAATAAACAAAACACTCATACGTTTTACCTAAAAATCTTCTATTTGTCAAATTTGATTACATTTTGAAAAGTACAAAAAGTTTTAAAATGTATAATGTTAAAGTTTGACGCCGGAATAGGATATGTGACGTCATACTGGTATGTGCAAAAAGACTAGATCAACGATTGGCGGATTTTCTTTGTTAAACAATATTAGAGATTTGACCATAAGAGAAATAGGTTTAACAACTCGTGAGAATTGGATATCACTTAATATCAACTATCGTTATTTGATCTAAATAGTAATAATGAACTCGCCGAAGGCTTGTTTATTATTATATTGAAATTAAACAACTCGAGCTGATAACAAGCGGTATCCAATTATCACTCGTTATGAAATCTATAATTATTTATCAACATATTGAATATTTCCTATTGTATAAAAAGTAAAATCACAAAAATACTGAACTCCGAGGAAAATTCAATCGGAAAGTCCCTAATCAAATGGTAAAATCAAATGACAAAACACATCAAACGAATGGACAACAACAATCATATTCCTGACTTGGTACGGGCATTTTCAAATGTAGAAAACGGTGGATTGAACCTGGTTATATAGCGCTAAACCTCTCACTTGGTGTACGACAGTCTCGTCAAATTCCGTTATATTTACAACGATGCGTGAACAAAACAGACATAATAAATAAAATAGACAATATGGGTACAGCAGTCATCACTGTGTTACAATATCAAAACAAACAATCATTTACAAAAAAGCACATAAGCATCTATCAAATGAAAAACCACATTCATTGCTTCGCGTGTCTGACGTCAGAAAATGTAAACGTCACATAAGAAGAAATTTTGTCGTTCAATGTTTATTCAAAACAATTTTATAATTTCACATGGGGAATGTTGGTATACAGGGTTAAAAAATCAAAAGTTATGTTAGAATTAATTTCAGAAATAGACCGAGATTTAAAATTGTCCAGAAGTTCTTTAGAATTTTTAAGAATCCACATATGGTTAATACCACTTATATATCTTATACACACACACTAGATTCAGTACGTGATTATCAGACACCCGTCACAATGAATCAAAACTCCAACAGTATTTGCATATACAATGTATGCATATTTATAAAGCGTGAAAAGTGTATATAAACTTCAGTTAGAAATGTTTTGTATTTTTTTTTTTTATTCTTTTTTACAGAGAGAACTTTCTTTTTAAGTCTTGCTAGAAATGCATCACATCTTTTTTAAAGTTTTTGATACTTTATGTTAGACAAGTAAATCCATATCATAAAATTTGTGACATTGAATATTGAAATATGAAATTGCACTTCCAGGATACACAGCTTTACACCTTGCAGTAATGGCACATGGGCGTAAAATATCAAAGGGAGAGAATATGAATAGTGTAAATATAATTGAGAAACTAATTGCGACTGGAGTTGATCCTAACCTACAGGTAATGAAAAACTATGCACTTGTTTATTGGGTTAATCGAAACATGGCTGACAAACGTTAAATAGAATTTCACTAACAGTTAATTTCAAGTAAAAATTGAACAGATTGATTATGTAAGCAACAGACTCACATTTGCATTGCCATTGCATGTGGCTATCCGATTCTGTCTAAACATCAAAAGGATATGATACAACAAAAAAGATCCGTGACCTTATGTTCATTAACTTACAACATTTATAATGACAACTTCTTATGTAATATTCAACAGAATTAATTACAAAACAGCTATTATTTAGATGTCAAAATATAATCTTCGTACTTCAAGATCATAATTTTTATGTGTTTAATGACTCATTTTGGGTTTCTTTTGAATACCTTCATTACATTGATGTTAAGAGCTTTTAAAGGGTGGACAAAACTTTCAACTTTTTACATTTTATATTTATCAATTAATGATCATTTTGCATACTAGCAGAAATAGGTTAAAAGTGTAAACTAATTGAGACTATCTAACAAGTATTCTCGAAAGAGCAATTAACGGGGAATGACATATCAACACTTTGAGTTATGTTTACCCTAATGAAGTCCGTATTTGTTGGAGAGTAGGAAAACAAAATATCATATGGAAACTAAATACCTAAAACGGATGGTGGCCATATTTGTGGGTGAAAGATTATTTTAAGTAGTTTACAACGAATGTTAATTGATGACAATTATCTACACCAAATTTTGTCCAGATCAGCTACAAAAGGAGCATACAAATATTATATTCCACTATGCTCACTTTATAGATAAAGAAAATATGATAATGAATTTTATTTTTTATTACAGGAAACCAACACTGGAAGAACACCTTTAATGTGCGCTATAGAAAAATTAGACATCACCTTAGTTGAGATTTTTGTGACACTAATAGACCCTAAAAATTTGCAACATGTCCTTAAAGCAGAATCATTTCAAGGCAAAAATGTGCACTCAATCATCGAAGAATCAAAGCATGTGTTAAATCAACGGGATTATAAAAGACTAAATGACTTGCTTATGAATACAAATGAGGAAACGCAATCAGTTTCTTCAACTTCGTCATGAAATGGTTATTAATTTCCAATGACATTCTCTTCCTTTAGGTTATATGTAAGGAGGTTAATAGACAATCGCTATGCTTTCTATGCATTTTGCATGCAATAAGAACAAGTGAAAGTACATTCAAAATACTGAAAATGATATATTTCGCTCGTTATTGCCTTTTAATGTATTTTTCATGTGAAGAATTTAGAGGCTTGACAATTTTTATTTTTTTGGTAAAATTTAGTTAAACTCATACATTTAAACCATGAATAAAATAACAGGTTGTATGATGTTATGTTTATAATCTCAAACATGATTTCCACAAACTTGGGATTTCTTCGACATCTTTCAGAGACATAATATGATACGTCTTATTACAGAGTGTTTTAATATGGATTCTCCCTCTAATATCATTCATTCTACTTATGTCAAACTCACTAGTTTAAATTAATATTTTGATTTTATATCTAACATAAAATACAATGGCAGCTAACTGTTTTAAGCGTACTTCATATCAGGCACATCTTTGCTTTATACCTTCAATACTTTAGATCCATTAATGTTATAAGAATTGAATGTATTAATATTGCTTTTTTGCTTTTATTATTATTATAAGTTTTCTGATGCATTATAATAAAATCTGTATAGACTATTGATATGAGTAATCTTACATATGAATAACCATTATCAAAATATAGACATATTGGCCATTTCCTTGACATTGACGGTTAAAGGTAATTAACATTCCTAATGAATGAAGATTCTATAAAATTTCTTAAAGGTTCCACAGAACCCAGGATCTTGCCTGTGATTGCTGCTGTCCGTGTAAACATATAATGTTCACTGCCAAAATATAAGTCCATTTATCAGTAAAATACGGAACAAAATGAAAAACAAATCACTTTTTTCTTCACATGATATTTCTTGATCATGAAGAAGATGTTGTCTCACTACAATAAGCAATTTTATTCAGCACATTCATATATGTGTGTGTTCTTTGGCACTAATTCTCAAGTGTTTTTAAATAAATGTCAGCAGACATAAAGATAATAATAAAGTAGAAAGTTAACCTTTGGTAGTTGTTACAACATGCAATGAATGGGGAGGGGGAGGGTGGATGGTTACCAATTCAAAGACCCCCATAGAAAATTTCAGGAAAATTTCAATCCCTCAGATGCTTGGTTTTTAAACCACTCCGATGCCAAATCGAGCCACCAACCCCTCTTTTTTTTTACACATTTAGACAAGAAAAGACCTATCAGAAACAAAAAAATGGGTACCCATTAGATATATTATGAGCCAATCGGTACTCCTAAGAAATGACTTTTTATACCCCTCAGAAAATACCATCCATCCCCCTTCTCAGATATTAAATGGAATAGTCCAATAAAGAGGGACTAATGAATCCCTTGAAAAAATAATTAAGCACGGAACGTTTTATGAATCGTAAACATAAAAATTATTCAGACTGCCAGATGACCTGGTTCAAATGGCAAACTCGTTGTCATTGACAAATTTTCAAGTACTCGACAAAAACAAAGAAAGAACTAGTTACAAATAGTCGGACACAGCTATTTTTTTAATTGGTGACGACGTGTATCCAAATAGTTTTACTCGCCTCAATGTAGATCTCTGTCCCTATATTGACGGACAAGTTATAAGGAAAAGACATTTAAGTCGATGAATTCCCTATATGATGCTTCAACTTTGGAATCATTATTGTTTCCGTATTTAAAACTGAATTTAGTTGTAATATTATGTGTTGAAGAGACGTATAAGAGATTTACAAAAACGTAGGTACGAACGGTGATTAAGGACGACTCGAGTGTACACATCGATTGATCATGCGCAGTCGCTTGATTCACAAATACCCAGATGTCAACTTTGGCACTGTGCGTTTCTACTTATCTGTTTACGAAGTGACTGCGGGACCAGTCAAAATTAATGTATTGAAACTGAAATTCGACTTTAAAAATAAAACGTTTTACGGACCTAAAAGATCGAAATTGTTCACCGGACAAAGGGACCCACATGATACCTATGTCACTCGGACCGCGTCATTTTTTGTCAATCGTGTCCGACGAGTTTTTCATCAATTCTGCTTTCGTCACACGACCAATGTCTTGACCTTGGCATTTTGCCGTCCACCTGTAACTAGATTTGACAGGGCCAGTTATGGAATAAACCAGAATAATATAATACATGCAGGAAAGAAAACTGAAGACTTCGCGTTAAGTGGTCAATACATGACTGCCACATATTACATTGAAGTTAGTTCTGAGGCTGCTATAACGCGCATAGAGTTTGAAATTTACTTCTCGTCTTCAAGTTAAAATTACCGCCAAACAATATTCATGCGCCTATTGCCATTTGACAATTACAAACGACTCGTATATAAAAAGTTTCGGCGATGAAATATTTCATACAATTGTTCTTAAACATCCCTATAAAAAACACAAAAAATAAAAGAAAAACAATGCAAAACTTTCCATTGAGCACTATTTCCTATGTGCAACGTCATTTATTTTGGGTTGTTCGACGATGTGTAAGGTTATTCTGGACATATCTTTTGAATTCCAGAATTAAAAGTATGAAACATTTTCCAATTAGTTAAAAATAACCTACCAGCCTGCTAGATAAAGGCAATGGCACATTTTTCAGCATTCCCGAGGGAAAAGGCAAAGAACAGCTTAACTGCCCAAAAAGGTGACAAACATAACGCTATAAATTATAGACCAGTTTCACTAACTGCAATATGCTGTAAAATTTTAGAACATATTTTAACAAGTAACATCTGAAAACATCCTACAAACAATAACATATTAAATAACAGTCAAAATGGGTTTATGAGTCAAAGGTCATTCGAGACCTAATTCATAATCAGTTTCCAAGATCTAGCAAAATCATTGGCAAATGACAATCAAATAGATGTTATACTTTAGATTTTTCTAAATCGTTTGATAAAGTTCCTCGTCAAAGATTCGCTCACGTATTAGATTTTTAAGGTACTAGAAAACAAAACTTAAATTGGACAACAGAGTTGTTTAGCTGACAGGCAACAGCATGTACTTTTAGATTAGCTGTTGATTCTAGTATTCCCCAGGGAACAGTATTAGGTTCAACGTTATTTTTACTCTTATTTATGATTTACCAGAACATGTAACTTGCAATGCAAGACTTTCTGCAAATGACTGCTTACTATATTGATATGTAAACAATGATTATAATGCACAATTACTTCAAAATGATTTATCTAGTTTAGTGCAATGGGAAAGGGACTAGCAGATGAATTCTAATCCTGAAAAATGTTATGTCATATATATATCTAAAAAAACTTAAGTCTTCTTCTTTTAATTATACCTTCTTCTTTTAATTATACCTTGCATAATCATGTATTAGAATCTGTTAAAGATAGTAAATATTTAGGTGTTGTTATGATCTCAACTGGGGAACACATATAAATAATATAATCTGTATGGCAAAAAAAACTTTAGGCTTTCTTCGTAGAAATTTAAAATACTGCACACGTAAGGTTCAAAACCTTACGTACACATCGCTTGTCCGTCCAGTCGTCGGATACTCTTCTCCTGTTTGGGATCCTTACAAAAAGAATCACATCACTCAGGTTGAGCAGATTCAGCGTAAGGCAGCCAGATATCTATATAGTGGTTATAAATACCGGGTGCAGTTCCCAACATGATTAATTCTTTACAATGGGACACTTTACAAAATAAAAGAACAAAATGTAGATTAACAATGTGAAATGAAGGGCTCGTATCAAAGATAAAGATCATTCAGGTGTAACATGCATGTAGATTATACGTACATATTCAATTCAAACGGTTTTATTTTGAGAGAAAAAACGGATATTGAGCAAATAGCTATTTGCGAATTTTCATTGTTTTCTTTCTCACATATAATACTTATTTAATGCATACATAAACCATTCCAAATCCCATTCTATAAACCGAAAAAAAAATACTCAGTGCAATCTATTCACATCCGAATCCATTGTCTCTTCAGTTTTATCATTATTAATGCTTATATGTTCGAGTTTTTCATGGAAGACTACACCGCCTGCCAATAGCCATTAACTCGTATTTACTGCCATTTTTCACTCTGTATTTTATCATCCCTATAGTAACAAAGTTACGGAGAGAATATTGTAACGGGACTATCTGTCCGTCCGTAACGCGTCCGAAATACAATTGTGGACACTGTAGACGTTGTGTTTCTCAAAAGGTCTTCACTGGACGTGTTGTATATAATTATATAATATGTGTTCTACAAGGATCACCAGTCCTTCACCTTTCATTTGATACCTTAATTACTAAAATATAGTCTACATAGCTTTATATTTACACCTATGCGTAGGAACCACATTTTATTTTGTTTTAAATCTGTACTACTTTCCAGTATGTTTTATTTTACTGGGCCCAATACGGTAGTGTTACATCTTACAGAGTCTATCCAAATTGTTTTTGCAAAGAATTCCGCTCAAGCCGGTGCTAGGAGCAGTCTTAAACTTGCAGTGAGGTGAGAGTTGTTTAGCTCCGTTTTGGTGGCCTCACTGTGACTTTAAGATGGAGAACAACAATAAAGGGACTGTGCCTTTGCTTGTTGTGTTTCTTTTGCTGTGCATGTACTGATTTAGTGTCATGGATGGATACCCCATATCCTTTGTTTTTCTATTATATGAATATAATTAACCGTTATAATTATAAAAGTTGTCTCCGTCACGAATGATATCAGACCTTGTCTCTTTGTTATTGATACATGTTCTCCGTTCCCGAGCATGACCTTTAGGAGAAACACGTCGAGTGTCTTGAAAGAAGCGATAACTGCTTACCCTGTTAAAGCACTTTCGTTGATCTGAGTTTTAAGGGGTCTGTGTTTTCTCATTTAACTTGGGTTTTTCTATGAGAAATTGCCCTATTTAGCTCACCTGGCCCAGAGGGCCAAATGAGCTTTTCTCGTCACTTGGCGTCCGTCGTCGTCGTCCGTCGTCGTCGTTGTCGTTTTGTCGTTAACTTTTACAAAAATCTTTTCCTCTGAAACCACTGGGCCAAATTGTACCAAACTTGACCTAAATCATCCTTAGGGTATCTAGTTTAAAAAACATATCCGGAGACCCCGCTCACTAACAAAGATGGCCGCCATGGCTAAAAATAGAACATGGGGGTCAAATGTAGATTTTGGCTTATATCTCTGAAACCAAAGCATTTAGAGCAAATCTGACTGAATTAAAATTGTTCATCAGGTCAAGATCTTTCAGCCCTGAAATTTTCAGACAAATCAGACAACCCGTTGTTGGGTTGCTGCCCTGAACTGGTAATTTAAGGAAAATTTGCAGTTTTTGGTTATTATCTTCAATATTATTATAGATAGAGATAAACTTTAAACAACAAGAATGTTTAGTAAAGTAAGATCTACAAATAAGGACCCCTTAAGGAGTTATTGCCCTTTAAAGTCAGTTTTTCGTTAATTTTTGCAATCTTTTACAAAAATCTTCTCCTCTGAAACTACTTGGCCAAATTATACCAAACGTGGCCTAAATCATCCTTAGGGTATCAAGTTTTAAAAATGTTTCCAATGATTCCGTCCACCAACCAAGATGGCCGCCATGGCTAAAAATTGAACATGGAGATAAAATAC